TGGCATTCAAGCAGCATTTATACACCTCAAGGGATCCCAAATATTCATCACTAAAATATGTGAAAATATCGAGGTTCACTGTCTCTCCTGATTTTCTAACAAGTTTTTCCATTATACATTTGCTTAACAGATACCAATATCCAGAAGGAAGCTGTGGTTTATATTACAAGTGGGTGTGAGTTGGGAGCAGTCAGCATACATAACCAAACAGCTTTTCAGATCTCTGCCAAGTATCTTGCAGGTCCATCAAGAGAACCACAAACATACCCAGCACTATTTGCACATAGGAACAAATGTGTGCATAGACACCATCTAGAGGTTTCAATTCTCTCCCTGCAGTTTTTGTATCCCTGTTTTTCCTTTGGATTTTTTATCTGTAGTCCTAAAAGGTTTTTTTGTTTGTGAAGTATATTAATTATTGTCTGCTTTGTGACAGATACTGGTACAATATCCTTTCATCAAGGTACCAATTCAGAGCTTCTATTAATTTCAGGACTGTAAGACAGGTCCCGATTTCAAGTTAGTCTAAATTCGTATTCCTTACTTTAATACTCAGAGGAGCACTAGCAGTGAAAGAAAACCTGTCAGACTCATCCATTAGAGTTCCATCCATTAGAGTTTCACCCTCTTTTCTAGGCCTAGGAAGATCAGCAGAGCCAGAGCACCTCTGCAGCACCTCAAAGTGAGATCCTCTGACTGAAGCCAGCAGGAGGAACAGGAAAAATAAAGGACACACGTTACCAAGTAGCCTTCAGAAAAACTCAAAAATTGACAGAGGATCCCAGACTTCAGTGAAGAGCAGATCTTTTCAGAAACTGGTAGGGATTTTCAAATACTCCTTGGGCTGGTATGGGACATGATTACAATGTGCATGTGTACACAAGCTTACAGCATAATGTCTATAGTGTTCACTACTGGAAAGCAGCCCATGAGGAAATGCAGCTTCAGTATAAAGCTCTTTTAGAAGTGGTTCATACATAAGTTAGTACTAAATTTTGTGGTATAATCACCAAAGTTGAAAGCTTTAACACGGTACTTTGTTCACAAAAACTAACAAGACATGTTACTAGCAAGAGTATTTACACAGCTAGAATAATTTTCCTGTTCCAAGACTGGAATGTTTATCCATATTTAAAGAAAGAAAGGCTGTATAACTTGACAAATAGCAGAAGTAGGAGCACTAAACCATCAGGTCACCTGTTAATCAAACAAATATTTAGATCCCTATGACTATATAATCATGGAGGAATATTACAAGCTGTATACTCCACAAGGCAGAATTTTATTTAAAGAAAGAAAGGCTGTATAACTTGACAAATAGCAGAAGTAGGAACACTAAACCATCAGGTCACCTGTTAAACAAACATTTAGATCCCTATGACTATATAATCCTGGAGGAATATTACAAGCTGTATACTCCACAAGGCAGAATTTTAATTAAAAAAAAAACAAAAACAAACAAACATGCTTTCAGATCCAAGAAGTCTTATTCCAAGATCAACCCAGCTCTATCCCTGGAAACATCCTCCTTCAAAAAAAACCCTCCTTCCACCTATCCCTGGAAACAAAGCTCCTTCAATACAGATACCTTCCCCACATTTAACCAGATAATCTGCTGCCCATTCTGCCTACTGAAATCAACTTCCCAGCTGGATAAGGCCAGGGTAGCATGACAACAATAAGCAGGGGGAATGGATCCAGAAGCTCTGCCACAGAAGACTGCAATAGCCTACCCTGGGTAGTGCTGGGACTTCCAACACACCCCTGTAGAAGGCTGCTTTTCTGTGTAAAGTGAAGCATGCAGCAATGTACCTTGGTGCCATGAGTAATCTGAGATCATTGCAAGTCCTTTAAAAAGCCACCTGCACGGATGACACACATGCCTTCAGGCACAACAGGCAGATCTTCTCTCCCACCACTGAACTGTGTTGTAAATAGACAAAAGGGAAAACTATACTCATGCTGATCTCTGCAGCAAGCTTGCACAATGCTGCTGTAACAATTAATCCCTCATATAAATCCAATTGTTTTACCAGTTAACAGGGGAACAGTCTGAAGATGACAGCAAGAGCTGCTACCTGAAAATCAAGTCATTGAGTATATTAAGGAATCAAAAAGACGAAGTCCCCACCAGTCTCCATGGCAGCATTTTGTATGGTGGGCTGAGTAAAAACTTGGACACTGCTACCAGCAACAACATTTTAACAGATGTACCAGCTTTGAAGAAAGTTGGGGTTTGTTTGGTTTGTTTTTTTAATTTAAATAATTTTGCTGTCCTGATATCCAGATAGCTGTTGATCAGAGCATTACTGTTCTACTGCTTTCACACATCATGGCAGTTTTACTAATTAAAACCTACAAATGAAGAGATAATGACAGCCTATGGAGGCATGCAACAATTAGTCTTCCCTGCTAATGCACCCCTCCTCCAATGAAATATGGTAGTAATTAAAGGCATCCCTGCTGTTCTAATCCTTGGCAAGCTACATTTATTTTGAAAGTGAATAATTAAGTGTCCCCCCCCAAACAATCATTCTGGTGACAAATTTGTGACATTAACTAAAGAGTTAAGGTTATTTTGACAAATTCATGATGGAGAGCAGCTCAATGGAACAAGGACAGGTAATGGAGTCCCAAATTCAGACACTTTATTTAAAACATTTGAACTCCATTTACTGGACAGCAACTAAAAGCCACCAATAAGCTTTTATATCCAGTGAGCCAATCACTGCAGATGTGATTTCATGCAATCCAAGCTGACATACTTAGCATAAAAATAATAATAAAAACAAAATCACAAGAGTTTGAGATGTGGTCCAGAGTGTTGATGTGATGCTGTGAGTACTACTAAAAGAGGTTTTGTTTCTGGCTGCTGCTGTTCTCCATCTGTGACAGAGCTCCCAGGCTAAATACACATATGGTTGTTTCCTAACCCAGTTCTGTCAAGTGATGCTGGTTAGCCAGACACAGAGATATGTAAACAAAGCTGCTGGCAGCAGCTCTGAATGGTATCGCCCACTTGTTCCTAGGTTTGCCAGTTTTAAATCCCTGTAACTTAATTGTGCTTCAAAAAGAGTCTGAGCAATAACCAAGGTTAGAAAAGACTCACTTGTTTCCCATGATGATCATAATGGAGAATCTGATTCATCACAGAGAACAAGTGAGACTATTTTCTAACCTTAATTATTGCTCTGATTGGTCATTTTACTTTTACACATACATCTTCATGTATGTATACATAAATATTACTGCTATATGGTATGTTGCACATGTATATACTTCTACAAGGTTATGATGTATATACTTCTAGTAGGTGTGATGAGAAAACCCACACCTTGTCCAGAGCAGGAAGGGACATAAGCAGACATGAAAACACTAAGACACTACCCTTTATTTCCCTGTGCAGCAAGTGTCAGAATTATACATTTATCACCTAAAAAGGCCTTTTAACTCAAACCACTCCAATGGAGAGAACTGTACACACTGGCCCAACAGAGTGATAACCCCAACTTAGCCACTATTAGACAAACACACTGGAACAGACCCACACTCTCAAGCAGTGCCCATATCTCTCAAGACAAGTCCCACAAAGGTGTGAACAAACAAGTTTATACCTACCCACCTTGGTTCAACAGCACAAGAATTTACCATAGGGGACAGAGCACAAGAATGCTCTTCCACTAATTTTGAGTTCAAGGACTTCCTGAGCCAGGTGTGGTTTCTGTGTATTCACTAACTCACAATGAATTTCCTGCCATGGAATTTATCCAGTTTGTTTGAACCTACACCAAGTTTCAGTTTCCATATCATGTTTTGGCTACAAGTCCTACAATTAAGAATCTCTTCTTTCCACTATGCTATTTTAAATACTTTTAAAAAAAGTAAAAATGTATTACTACCTGTATGGATTTTGACAGATACTTTTGAGGCTTTAAAGGCACTGCTTAAAAGTGATAAAAACAGCATCAGAACTTAATAAACATAATAAGATTCAACTTTGTTTTAAAACTGTTTAGCCTGTAGCAATAGCTTTCAAGTTTGTATACAGTAAAAGATTCTATAGGATGTGTTAGCAATTGCCAAGTAGAGCAGTTATTTCCAATGTATGTACAGCACCTAATACACCCAGGATTAGAAAAAGGAAACTCCTCCTTCCCATGGATCCTATTGTTCTTTCTTAAAAGCTTGGGACTAGGCAGAGAGCAAGACCACTGATATACTGTCAGAACATGTTGCCAGATATAATTACAAGCTGAACAGTGATATCAAAGACTGACAGATCCTGAATTACTTGCTCTCCCTCCTTTTCATTAGGAATTCACTAAAGCTATTTTAATAGCTTAGAAGGCATCAATTTCTTTACACCACTGGTTTCATCACCAAAGCTGTAAGAGCATTAGGACAAGTCTGAGAGTTTCAGGATATCTGATAGGTACTGAAAACCAAACCAATATCTCCCTGCTTTCCACCATTTAAGTTGATTTCTGTGTGGAAAATGGAGTTGGACTATTGTAAAGCAACTTGACCTTGCAAAACACAAGCTCTAAAAGCTTTTGGCAGTAGCTCAAAGAAGTTTTCCTTATTTCCATAAATATTCACCAGTTAGATTTATGAACTATTGTCTGATCATTACTTACCAGCTCTATATTACTTTTCCTGGATGTGCTTTTAAATGGAACACTTAGTACAGAGGATACCCTATTCTTCCTGCTGCACATAGCTAATTTTTGACTTAAACTTCAAAACCAGAAAGCTGCATTTAGGAGAGTTCTGATTGCTGTTTCAAATGGACTCTATTTTTTGTATCCTGGATAAAGCACAGAAACTTGCCTGAAAAGCAATAAGTATTAAAAAAAAAAAAAAAGAGAAACAAACAAAAAAGAGAAACAAACCTAAACCAAAACCAAACCCCCAAAATACCAAGCCAAAAATAAGAGAGAAACAAACAAAAAAGAGAAACAAACCTAAACCAAAACCAAACCAAACCCTCAAAATACCAAGCCAAAAACATTCTCTACAAAGAATCACTACATCTATTGGAGTACATACAAATTGTCTGTAGATAAACATTCTGGGTGGAAAAGCGATACCTAAACACCAAATTTCATAACAAAGAAGCCAACTTGAGTCCAGAAATTTTTCCTTATTTTCTTTAAAAGAGCAGTATTTGTAATTGGCAGAGAAACTATGTAGTAATGGTTTCCTAAAAACAGTGAACAACTGCCAGTTAAACAAGAAAATAAAATGGATATTTTGGGGCTTGGGATTGATCTGTCTGTGACCAACATATATGCCCACAGCCAAGCAGCCAGTGATGAAACTCACATGGGAACTCATTCAGTGAGAAATCACTAGGACACGACATTTAGCCTGCAGTGGCCAGTCTATTCTTAAGAAGTAAAATATATTAGTAACCACAGACTATTACTGCTACTATGTTTTCATGAAATATAGAACCGTTACTGAGAACCTTGTTTTATATTGCCAGTGCAAGTTTGGAATTTTATTTTTCTTAATCTTACATTAACAAGGCTGAGTTTGATAATATCATAACCATAAAACAGATATTGAAGGCATTATAGAAAGTAACTCATGAGTGAAGGAAACATTTTAATAAAAAACCACAACAGTCATTTCACAGACATATAGATAAAGTAATAAGAAAACCTTTGTTATCTTACAGGTATTGAAGTGCTCATATTGCTTAACAGCTTCCTAAGTAGCTCTTTGGTCCCTGCTGCAGAGATAAACTCAAGTTGTCCAGCAGATTTCCTACCAGAGAAATGGTTTATGGCTTAAAGGGAACATGGCTCCTTCCAAGGCCTCATGACTGCAGAGGGCAACAGGTATCCAGAGATTTTGTTCTGTAGCAGATAGCTAATACATCCAGAAAAACCAAAAGCCCTTTGTGAGAGGTTTTGATGAGGACAGGAAGAACACATGCCTCTATATGCTTTACATATGCATTCAATACAATAGTAGTCATAGAAGTAAACAGTTTTCATCATAAAGGTCAAAATTTACTTTGTTACAAACACAAAGAGGCAGTATTTCAGAAGTTGCTAAGGCAGACCCCAGCCCATCCATTCTAAAGAGGGGCCAAGGGCTTCTTTGTGGACATGGGAAAGAGTACTGCACATGTCAATTCCCACTGAGGGCATAACAAAGAAAACTAGTAAGTTTTAGAGGAATGTTAGGTGAAACAAAAATAATAAAAAATATCCCTAGGACTGAAATGTGTGTCCTAGGTTAAAAAAAAACCAAAAAACAAAGAAACACTAACCAGCCTCCCTGTCCCCCAAACATTGCTACCTGCAATACCATAAAACTTGGAAAATCCCTAGTTATCCTGAAATTGTTTCCCTGAACAAGATACCAAACAAGGTGTTCTTGGTATCACAAGTCCTTAGCAGAGCAGACAATGTTCTTTTGTGAATTTTATGCATTTTCTGGGGACAATAAAAAATAAAAAAAAAAAGACTTCTTCTTTGGTGCTTGAGTTCTCCTCTGCTTTACCTGGGATAATATGCTGTGTAGTTCATGAAGAGCTGAGCCCCAGCAGGGTAGTAGGCTGTGGAGGGCTGGAGTGCTCGTGGGTTCAGAAGCATGGATGGCTGATAGAGAGCAGCTTCTGTTGGCACAACTGCAGCAGGAGCTGGAAAGGAGTAGGCAGGGGGTGAAAGGCCTACAGGGAGCAAATGGAAAATAGATTAGGACCTCTGAAATTCCAGAGCTCACACATACATACACACAACTCCACAGTACATCAGGAACCTCGTCATCCTCCTTCACCACAGAAAATAAATGTGAGCCAGCAATGCGAGTGTGACTACAAAGTGTTACACCCAGCCTCCAGTCTACAGAAAAGTCAAAACCACACACACAAAAAATCACCTCTTGCTCTGGGAATAGGGTCCCTTTCTGATACCTAGGTCAGTTTTACTTGTCTAGGCTCAGATTTTAATGAGTTCTGCGTTCAAGAACTACAAGACTTCTGCACAGTAAGAAGTTTCCATGACAAAGATCTGTTTAACATTCAACAAAAGAGAGAAGACTTTCATCCTGTTACTGCTTATATCTTAATTAATCAACAGCAGAGTGAGAAAAGTCATGGCTTTGCAGCTTGAAGTGTTAGCACTAAATTAGAAAAAACCAAACAAAAACCAAATTGTACTTTGTGCTGTTTCAACAAGATGTTAGGCCCTAAATGAATTCTTACTGATGAGAGTTCACCCTCCTCCTTTGCTTAACTATTCTCCTTATTGCCATAGAAGTGAACATACAGCTTTAGATAAAGTAAGCCTTTAATTTTACTATTCAGAGTTACAGCCAGCATCTCATTGTATTGTAAAATGTGGAATGACAGGGCCAAAAGGCCTTATCTGAGGAATACATCACAGGCATTTGTAGTTGGAAATGGGAATATTGACTTGTGTGTTTCCAAAAGTTTGTGACTGCCCAAGAATCTGTCCTAGGAGCTCTCAGGTTCCAACACATCTGGAACAGCCGTCACACATAGGACTATCTACTGCTGACCTCTGCTTAAGATACTTTTGTTGAAAGAAAAAAAATCCTCTCCCACAGATTAGCTGAAGGTCTACTCGCACTCAAAAGGAACCACTCCAAAGGAAGTTTGCTGCTGTATTGGCAGTTCTGACTAGGATGTAGAGGCCATTTCTTAAATGATCTACAACCAAAAAAATACACTTGCATAGAGAGACACAGAGAAAGCTACTACTGGACTACCTTGCCGTTTATGATTTTAGAAGCAAAGTATTATTTTTCCCATAGGCTCAGATTTATGTGGCACAGATGCTTAGCAAGTTAGCCCTTAAACTCCTGAAGTATTTCCCCAAAAAGTTTGTGTAGAAGTCAGTGTTCATCCTAGTAGCTCTAAGAATCAAAATTTAAAAGGAAATAGAGATTCTGCAATTCTGAGGCAGAAGCCATCTGTATTTCACTCCCACAAAGCCAACCTCCATTTCGTATGAACAACAAAAAGCAAAGGAAGAGTTCAGTCAGTTGCAGTTCAAAAGGCAGAGCACATGATTAAGTCTCAAAGGGGAGCATTATTACCTATAGTTTCTCAAATTAAGTTTTGGAAGTGAAAAGGGAAGGTCTTTTACTTGACATGTTCACCATGACAAAAAAATAAAAGTACTAAAAGATCAGTTACAATACAAAACAGTTCTTTAAGGTCTAGGCAGGGCTTAGAAATTACTTTTCAAAATCATCACTCCCCCCAACCAATTAAAGTTTCAGGGAGGGGAGGGAAAATTTGCCACTGGAAAAGCAAAAGTAGTTCTTCAGTCATAATAATTTACAACCAAAGGGAAAAATAATGATTGCAAGCTAGTGATGATTTAAGACAAAAGACCTTATTTTAACACCCCCATCTCACAATGCTACCCAAGAACCAGGACAAGAGTTAGCAAAGCAGCTCCAATACCTACCCGCACACAGTGTAGAGCATAGTGGCAAGACCCAAGCAAAACTTACATGGTAACTTACATGGTGGCGGGGACAAGCCATTTCGATTTAAAGTGCCCCCCATTAATACAAAGTTCATCTCTTCAGCAGAACATTGAAAGACTTCAACATATCTGTCCTTCATAGTCTTCTTATGACACTTCTGTGCAGCCAGGAAAGCTCGATCAGCAGATTTCATCTGAATGAAAGCATCTCCCGATGGACGTCCCTACAAACAGGGCAAACAAAAAAGAAATGTTTCTGTAGGTTCCATGAAGGAGCAGCATAACAATAATTTGTGCTAAGTCTCTTCAGTCATAAATACATTCGACTGCAAAGTACAGCCAGTCATCCTGAGCAGTCATCAGCATGTTTAAGCTCTTCTCTCTAGTTTTTCCCACTTGTGATAACTTGATTGTATTTATTCATCTGTTTTGATTAAGCTACATTGTAACTTGTTACATCTATATCTAAAAAAAAAAAGACACCTATGGGAGAGACTCTAATTCAGGGGTGCTTTGAGATTTCCTCTTACAAATTTACCATGAATGCAGAATTGGCAGATCTAGTCCCCATTTATTACCGCTTTGAGATTTGCTCTTACAAATCTACTATGAATGCAGAATTGGAAGATCTAGTCCCCATTTATTACCCATGATTTTTAAAAATCAATGATAAATACAGTCAAGCACTCATTGCTGAAATGAGCACTTGATTCATTTCAAGTGAATGAAATGAGTTGAAACTTCATGAGTTTGTTTTAAATTTTATTTTCTGTAGACCAACATGGGCTGGGATGTTTTAGTAGAGTACTAACTAGACTAACATTTGATATGAGCTTGCAGAGAAGAAAAAAAAATCTTTATATGTGTAAATGAGTGGGATACACCACTGGGAGGAGTTCTTTCAGCTACATGCAGTTGCTGATTTGAAGTAGCCAAAAGTAGAGAGAGATCTGAAGCCGGCTCTAACTCAAGTTCTGGGGCCAGTCCTTCTTGTTTTGGAAGGAACAACAACATTATCAGCATCCTTTACACAGTCTTTTATGATTAGAGGGTTGAAACCTGGGAACTTTGAGAAAGATAAAAATCTAGTAGTCAGGCAAAAGCAGTATTTGGGGAGAAAAAAAAAGTCTGATAGCTTTGGGCAGGGCAAGGGTAGCAGACAGCCCTTAGGGTTATATGCACACATCAATTTCTTCATCCAGGTTCTTTCATTAGTGCTGTCAAGGGCTGATACTACTGTAAATCATTACGTGTGCTTTAATATCTGCACTTTTCTTAGTCTCTCCCAGCACTACACATTCATTACAGTTTTTTAGCCTTGTCTAGGTCAAATTCCCACAGACACAGGAATGTCTTCAGATAGACAGGTACTGAAATAACTACAGTCCCTTCTCCATCCCCATATTCCTGAAACACAGAAGTCCTGCTTGGGACCAGGAAGTATTTTTTAGTTTTGATTGATATTCAGCTTAAGCTAAACAATTTTAGAACCATAATTTTTATACAGTTTTTTAATCAGCTTGTTCCATTGAACCACTCCATGGAGTCAAAGGACTCCCCCCCTCAAGTCACAAGAAGAGAAAGATAAAGATCACAAGAATGCACAATCCTTTGTCTAAAAGGTTTTTCTGTCTAAAAGGTTTTGGTAGAAACTGCTTCCAGAAAACAATGACAAAGATGTGACACTATACACATCAATGAACTGTTAATCTTAGTGCATAGCTGTGACTGTTTAAAGAAAGCAAGAACACAGGAAACCCAAAGCTTCAGTTTCTGACTTTTGACATGGGAACTCCTGTCTCTAGAAGGCTGCAGTCACATTTGTCTTCAGATATACTTGTGGCACATTGTTCAGCAAGGCAGGGACAAACCACTCCTTTGAGAGCTAACATTGCCCACACTTGTGTTTGGATGGCACTTCTCACCAGGTACAAGAGGAATCATGCACACTGTTGAGCAAGACACTTCACTTCAAGCCTCCTACAGCTCAGGATCATGGCTGCTGTTCTGGGAGCACCAATGACTCCAAGACTGGTTTAGCTTTCAGTAAAGTTAAGGCATAGGTCCCAGTGAAAGAAACCAATCTACAGCAAATGCAGCACCTGGCACAGCAGGGTTCAAGTAATCTATTGCCAGTACACTTTAAGAGGAGAGCTGGAGGCACATTAATACGATTACTGCTAGTCCCAAAGGTACTTCCCTATGGATATCATCAGGACAGTATTTATATATACAAGCACTTGGCAGAGTGGCTAGAAACATGTTTCCTACCTACCTGGTGGTTTAGTACCATGTGAACTCCATGGGTCCGAATATCTGTAGAAAACTCTCCCAGGAACTCCAGAATGTCCTCTATAGTAGCAGCATAGGGAAGACCACGCAAACGTATGCAGTCTCTGATGTTAGTGGGAGGCACAAATTGTTGAGGTAATACTGGAAGAATTGGAGGTGTTGGGAGAGGAATGAGAGGTGTGGAGGAGTACCTGTTCAGCACCTGTGCAAAGCAAAAACAGATTACAGAAGCCTCCTTACTCATTCTTCAACTTAGGAGTAAACATAACCCCAATGCCACCTGTTTTCACTCTGGTCAGTATTTTAAGATACAAATGTGCTAGATACAGATATTAACTGTAAAATATCTGATTTCTAAGCACTGTGTTATATTTTAAGCTCAGAAGCTAGCAGACTTCTATAGACACTCTAAGATAAATAGTCATGCTATTGTTTTTAAAAAAAATTTGGGTTATTTTTTTCTTGAAAAACAGTTTGGCTTTGAGAAATTTACTTGAACAGATAACACAAGTCTCAATAGAGATCTTAGAACATGAAACCTGTATATATGCACAGTGTTTTTATTGTGAAACTATCCTAAAACATTTTACCATCTACAGAGTCATGATGACACTTCTACCCAAAAATATCTCCTCTGCAAAACAGGAGAATTTGGGAACTAGAAGCACATTTCACTACCACACAACCCTAACTGTGCCTGCCATAGTCCATTCAAGAAACATTAGGAGCATTACAGAGTCACAGTACCTGTGACACTTAACAGTTTTGAGATTTCTTGTTAATAATTTTAACAGCAAAAACCCTGTCTGGCGAAAAGTTGCCTGAATATTCAATCACTACTCCTAAACTCTCTCTGAGAAAGCTGAATAAATGCAAATTATACAGTAAAACCTTCTGATATTAATCTATCAGAAGGTTTTATTAAACAAAGAAACATGAGAGTACTTAAGTAAAAATGCAATGACGAGTGAGCACTGTGGCTCTGCCTTCTAATCACTAATGTCACCTTTTAAACAAAGCACTGAAATCTCTACATGTTTGGGAGAACAAAGCTGCATAATTTCTTGGATACAGTGACATGGCTAAACATGATTCTAAAAAGGTATCTACCTCAACTGAAGCTCTGCAAATATTTTTGGAGACTTAAACAGTCTGCTCAGCTCTCCTTCCTTTCCCTGACAGCTTAGCTGCAATTAAGGGCCCAGCAAGCTCTATTAAGCCAGACTCATCAGTTTCAAACTCCTGCCACCCCTGCTAGGTAGCCTGTGCTTGCAGAACATGACAGAGATCTGCTCCTAAAAACAATTTGTAGTATTCTTCAGATACATTACACCAGAGAGGACAACTATATCAAAAGGCTTTGCTTTTTTGTGTCACTGACTAAAGATAAATCTTTTAGCTCAAGATTTGTGGCTAAACACTCCTGAATAGATCATCATTGGACTTAGCACAAGACCCACATCCACATTTTACAAAGCTATTGGAAGCCAAAACCCCAAAGGTTTCTATATAACTGAGAACACCCCTATACCATAAGGTCTTACACTTCCAGGGAGCAAAGTCTCACAGAAATTCAGACGATACTCATTCCAGCAAGAGACAAGAGTGAGAAAAGATAAAAGAAGCTTTCAAGTCAAGGCCCAGCATTATTTGCTCCCTCTACTGCCAGCACAGAAATTTGGACTACAAAAAGAAAATGTTTGAATGGTTTGCACTTACCTGCTGAACTTCTGCTGCAGTGCTCCGGAAGAGTTCAATGTACCTTTTCCCCAGCAAATCCTTGTGCTTTTTCAGTGCATTTTGTGCATATTCCTCACAAGCAAACAAGACAAAGGCATCCCCTGTTGGCCTGCTGTCAGGGTAGGTGACAAACAGGACTCCCTCCTTTCCGCCTGTTACAGGGCAGTGCTGGCCAAAGAAAGTCAGCACTTCTTCTGTTGTTACATTGAAAGGAAGACCTCGCATCCTGACAATCACTTGGTTTTCTTTTGACAAGAACTGTGCAACCTCATTGGAAGTACCTTTAAAAAGAAAAAGTACAGAAGCACTTCAGTCTAGTATATAAAAACCATGAGCATAGCTACATCCTCTCCACAGGTGTTTTTTTGAGCAGGTAGAACCATATTTTCCTGTAAAGTCAGTAAAGATGACCCTCTGATAAACTAGGTATATTGTATAGGACACCTCCCAGTAAAGTATAATAATGTTATCCAATCATTTAGAGAAGACTGATCTTCATTCAAAGGAAAAATAGGAAGTACTTGCAACATTCAAAGCTCAAGGAAAGCACAATCTGTCAATCTCTTGTGTGAGCAGGACCTGTGCTATTGTGCCCCTTGTCTAACTGTGGAATACCTCTGGCATGCTCTGGAGCCATAATATATGGCAACCAAGTGCCCAGATCATTGTGCTGGGAAAGAAAGCTGGAAGAGCAGGTTCAAAACAGCTCAGGGATTTCATCCTATCCCAACAGAACTGTCGAAGTCTGATAATTCTGCTTTCAGTACCTTCACCACACCAGTGATGCTAGTAACACTACCTTATTCAAAGGTAGCTGCTAACCAAATTCACATCTTAATACAGTCCTTTCACTTACAGCTCTCTTATTCTGCAAAGTTTGGTTGTACCAGATGCACCATTTTTCACAAATGTCACTGTCCAATCTTTCCTTTGAATGGCATAACTACTTCCAAACCTATCAGTTAGCTATGTAGTTGACAGCTTAACAGCATCAACTCTGAAGCCTCAGATCTCCAGTTAGCCTCAGCCCAAATCTCGGTCAGGAAGCAACAAGAAACTTTAAGTAGTATTGCAGATAAAACAGCTTATTGGCTGTTAATTCAAATGTTGTATGCTTGCAGACAAAGGGAAAGGAAAAGAGATGAAGAGAGAGAGTTTGAAGAGCAAATTTTGCAGCCTCTCAATTATCAGCAAATATTTCAAGATTCCCCTAAAATAAGTATTTCCTCTAAATCCTCTCCATTAAGTCTGAGGCAAAGATTTGATTTGAAGAAAATCAGTTCCATAAATCCTTTGTATTTACACGGTGATATCTGTTTGTTCTTATGTACAAGCCTCCACAGCAATAGCAGTTACATTGTTTTTAAAACTACTCTGGTTTCATTTTTGCAGCAATCAATAGCATTTAGATTCCGACTATCATGAAGATGACCTAAAAATTAAGTTCATATACAAGATCACTTTGCCCAATCAAATCCTGATTGACAGGCTGCTTGAAAATAGCAAGAAAGTGGAAGAGAGGCAGACAGATAAATCATGGAACACCTTGGACTGTTGCTAGCAGAATGCATAATAATAAATACACCAGCCAACTTCTTGTTCAAAGACAGAAAAAAGGGCCACATTCAACAGGAGCAGTTTGCAGCCAAAAGTTAAAGATGCTGATAGAACAAACTATCCCTTTTCATCCCCTAAAAGTTACCTCCTGCAATTTTAAGGAAGTCTTCACCTGTTGCCTTGTAAACCTAAAGGAAAAAAAAGGAACAGTGATTGGCATGTAATTTGCATTCATTTTGAGAAGAGGATTTCAAAGCCCATCATGTCACCCACCTCTATGTATCTGTTCCCCATGTGATGCTTGTGCCTTTGTAGTGCTAGATCTCTATGCTCTTCGCTTACGAATCTCACAAGAGCCTCCCCATTCCTCCTACCTTGGGCATTGAGACAGAGTGCAGCACCTCCTCTGCAAGATTTAAAGCAAGAGATGAAACTCCATGATCTATGCAGCTGAAGAGCTACAAATGTACAAGTGAATTCTTCACTACTAACTTGGCAATGTTTAAACCTTTGAAGAATCTCGCTATGTCCTGGTCAGATGACTGCCACGGCAATCCTCTTGCTCGGATAACAGCATTGTCATCCACAAGTTCCATCTTGCTGCTGCAGGTACAGAAAGAAGTAGTAATGCAGAGACATCTGCCACACGCCAACCTGTTCTGCTTGTCATTTATACTGCAGGAACAGGCTTCTGTCCCTGCTCCATGTCTGCTGGATAGCAATACCAAGGCAGTGAGGCCCAAGTGCCACCAACAATTGAAAGCTACTGTACAAGACTCTCCAAGAGAGTGTTTGCTTTGTTAAGTTGCCCCTTTCCAAGTTCTCCTTTCCTGCTTTACCACATTTACTCTTTGAACTTTCATCTCTTCAATCATATTGCAAATTAAGTTCCTTTTCCTGACATCATTTGTGCTTCTCCATTATCTGAAGAGGGTGACTGGTGTAAAAATCAAGTACCTGCTGTTCTAATCTAGCTACATAGAAATTTAAGCAGAACAATTAGATGTAACAGAGATTAGTGCTTATTATTTCTATTGTGACAGTGTATAAGAACCAGTCACAAGCCAGACCAAATCTGTTCAGGGCTGTAGTCAGCACACACAGGACTCTGGCCTGAAGAGTCAAGCCTTAACAACGCTGGTTGGGGCCATCACTGTGCTACTAGAGACTAACATAGCTAAAGGCTACATTGGCTGCTTAGCTTGGGAATAGCTTAGCCACAGAAAGCCAGGTTTAATTGGTCATTACTTCAGTCCCTTTTGTTCTCTTATTTTTTGAAAGTGTCAAGTTCAACAAAACCTCACAGCTACCCAAGCTTGCCTTTCTGGTTATTGAAGGAACATTTTTGCACGAAAGAGCTTAAATGATTTAGTAGATGGAGCGTTGTTCAGTAGTAGAGGACTCCCTTGTACAAAAGGGCTGTGGTATGCCTGGTGGGTCATGTTTCTCACTCACATTTTAATTTCTCAGGTGGCCTTTCTTGTCTCAAACTGTTCTCCCTTTCCTCCTAGTTCTGTACTTCTCATTATCTGAAATAAAATCTGAATCTTCCACTTCATCCCAGAATTTTGTTAGTGAAAACAAAAAAAGCTTAGGACAAGGCTGAACATAGTATCCAGAGAGACAAGCTCAGAGGCTTTCTGCTAATGTTGTATTCTTTCTTACTTTTTTGACTGTGGTATGCCTGGTGGGTCATGTTTCTCACTCACATTTTAATTTCTCAGGTGGCCTTTCTGTAGCTGTCTGTCTCAAACTGTTCTCCCTTGCCTCCTAGTTCTCTACTTCTCATTATCTGAAATAAAATCTGAATCTTCCACTTCATCTCAGAATTTTGTTAGTGAAAACAAAAAAGCTGAACATAGCCTCTGAGCTAATCTCTATGGATACTTTCTGCTTGTATTGCATTTTTTCTTACTTTTTTGATTCAAAAGTATAAGCATCATCTACCATTATGACAGATCCTTAATCTGAAAGAGGGAAGTGTTTGTGTAAGATGGGAATATAAATAAGGTCAGTTTAACACTAGTGTCTTGTGGTATTGCAGAGAAATCATTGATAAAATCATTGAGAAAAATCTGTATTTACACACAGAAAAAATGCAGTTACACTAAAAAAACCAAAACCAACTACCCAAGCAACAAAGCAGCCATCAAAAGCAGAAAAAGCTTTAAGTTTAAAACATATTTGGGAATAAGAATCACCATAGATTAAACAACTGAGTGGTAGCACAGTATTCCTGGTACAATATCTTCATGAAAGTGTTCCTTCCCTATTAAAAAAAAAATTATGTATACGCAGTACCTGTGTAGTAAATTGCAGGAAGAGTGCAAGAGTTAGTAACTAATAGGGTTATTTCTGAAACACTGCTTACATTCTTTGTTAATAGCACAACACACTTAGTACCCATTATAAGGACTTATTAGCAGAACACAGATCTGTCAGCAGCTACCAGGCAGCACTGAAGTCTAACAAGAAAACAGGCTTGCATCTGATCATAGATTGCCTGTTCTCTTTCCCACTTGAAGGATCCAATCAATTCCCATAGCAGTGGGAAGGTAAATAAATATAATGGTAACAGCTATTGGCAAATTAGGAAAAGAGAAGTACAGCTGATCTAAACAGTAACCTTAAACAAAAAGTGGAATGGGTTAAAACACGTGCAACAAGAAGAGGGAGGAAGTACTTACCAAGGCCCACTTTCAAATTTGTAGTTCACCCTTTCTGGATCTGAAAATCGGTGATCTATGAAATACAGCACAAGTTATTTCCTATTTTGTCAATGTACAGGACAGGCAGCAAAACCAAAGAAGGAACAAAGAAAATGAATTCATCATAATCACTTACTGTATGGTTCAGATATTAATTTTAAAATTATATTCCCCATATCTTCAACTTGAGAGGCTCCATAGGGAAGTGCTGGACTGTTCTTGTCAAGATTTAAATCTTTGTGCTGGAGTTAAGTCAATCATCACCGAACAGATTTCTAATTGGTTTCCTGCTAGAGCAACACACTTTAAAGTTGTCCTTGTATGTTGCTTCTCAGAGGAAGATTCAATCCAACTTCCTGCTGGGATACATTAGCTGTTCTGCCTTGGCCTCTAGTTACTGCCACCTGCGGTAGTGTAAGGTCACTAGAGTGTGTCTGGGGACATGAGAGCCCATAACAAGGACATGTCTTTAATATGTATGTTTGACAGCTGCACTGCTGCATGTTGAAGAGACTGGAGCCATGTCCTCTTTAATTAACATCCTCTTTAATCTTTGGGGGAAGATTTGGGGCAGGAGAAGAAGCAAACAATCAGCCGAAAGCTCCAGAAATGGAGGGATGTGCCACATGCTTTTTGACCAGCTAAATCCCAAAGCAGACAAGTATCTTAACACTTCAACAAAATTCATAAGTGACACCTTGTCTAAACCTTGCCTATTACAAGTTACAACCCAAGTTTTGTGCTGTTGCACAGAAGCATTTTGAGAATCTGATTAGAGTCCACCAGTCATGTGTTTTGTCGAGAGGCAAAACAGAGCACCACAACCCATAGCTTCAGTCCAAAGGGTTTTGGAAATGACTGCAATAGAGAGCAGGAAGCATCCTGTCCCATGAAGGCCTTGGAAAGACCATAGTTTTCAGAAAACTGTAAACAGTTTACTATGGTATCTCCTGCTTTTCATCATATTTGTCCCTCTCCAACATCAGGCTACAGGACTGAAAGATTATTTGCAATTCTACTCCATTATTTATGAAGCAAATTTTTTAAAGTCTCTTACTCATTTTCTTTGAGGACTGAAGGGTAAAAAATCAAGAACAGAACAAAAAATAAGGAAATCTGTGAATAAGTGTTGCACTTTTTACTCACTTTATCAGTTAGCATCAAGACTTCAGAGCAAAAGTGAGAGTTTCTTAAACAACATCCATCCTGGCATGGAGGTACAATAATGCAACACATTGAAAACAGCCAAGGGCACCAATTATTTGCCCACATGCCCTCCAGACTACATTAAACACATTTCAAATGCTCCACAGCCTGCATTATGATGTTCAAAGGTTGCTTCATAATCCAAGATAGCAGGTTTCCTCTTAAAAGAGGAATGCTTTCTCCACCTAGAGCTGAGCAACATTTGAGTTGTCAGATGCCTACATGAAGTGCAGGGACAGAACTGTTTCTAACAGTTTCTGTTAGAAACAAACACCTCATACCAGCTTTGTTGTATCACCTCATCAACAGGTGAGCCAGCACAAATTTCTTTGTGAGATAAGGCCTTCCCTATTATTTGTAGGATGACAGCAAGACATCCTACAGAAACAGATTTTTAAAAAAACTGTGTAACAGTTGTCTTGTTGCAAGATGAAAAATAACTTGAACTGAATTAATGCATTCCTCTTCCACAGCAAGGAAAGGAAAGCTGCTGTGCCAATAAAATACACTTCAAGCTAATTTGATTTTGAAGCTTTGTTGGTTTTAAGTGTGCATTGGAGTATGGAATGTGAGAGGACGATGCTTAGTCTTAGAAGAACATTTGAAGCTTAAGTGAATTATCTTATTTAAAAACCAGAATACTTAAACCAGTGATTCCTCCCCTCCACTGCTTGCCTATAGTTTCCTAGTCATTGCCTTTACCCTCCTCCTCCTCCTAGTACCTTCTTTGGGGTAAAGTACTGTGAACAGCAAATAGTTTTCTTAAAAACCAAGCAAAAAAAAAAAGCCTGAGCAACTCCAAAGCATGGTTTAAGAGGTTACAACTATTTATGACAACAAAAAATTTCTTAATCAGTCTCTCTTCCTTAGCTTTAAACAAGCTCAAGCTCACTACCTCCTCTGCCCCCAGAAAGAGGGGGTTGGAAAAAAAAACAACTCACAGTCTCTGACAGAGAGGGTGCCTAAGCAGCACCACACAGATGTTTCTGGGCACCCTGTGTATCAGGGCAGAGAAGTGCTCCTCCTCCTTTTCCTGACACTGTTCCCCCTGTAGCACCTAACAAGTCCACATTGGGCTCGTGTAGAGCCTCTGCTGTTCACAGAGGGAACCAGAAGCTGCTGAAGGTGCAGGTGTTGGAACCCTGGTCCTGCCTGACCAAGTTTTATGAAGATTTTGGAAATGTGTTTCCTCTGTCAAAAGTCAAGAGAAATGGGGCAGGAGTTTCAATAGCTATTCCAGCAGGGGACATGCATACACATGTGCTTGGCTGTTAGACTGTGCTGTCAGAACTGAAAAGACATTTCAATATTTCCTTTGTGCAGAGCCAAAGATCCCTACAAGTGATCAGCATTCAGAGAGGGGAATGCAGCAATGTGGAAAGGGCAGGAATTTGAAGAGAAGCCATCACACAAGGAAAACAAACAAGGACCCCACCCCATAATAATTTTCTTCAGTGAGACTGTTTTCTGAAAACACTGGTCCACAAGAGAAGCAGTTCCTGAAAATGCTCTAGTGCCAACAGAAGCTGGTACCAGTTGTCAGACACAGGGAGTCAGTTGTGCCAAACTCTAGAGAAACATAAACACAGTGGAGGGGAGGAACTAAGTCATCAACAATATTGCAGGCATAACCTCACACCTTCACCTCTGATTAGTTAGAAGCACAGCTTTTAGGCAAGATTGGAGAAGAAAAATTATCATTTTCTGCATGTTTGAAGAACATGCTTAGTAAAAATCTGTATTCTAATGAACAAGATTGACTACACAAGGTAGACACCTATGGACAGCAGCACTAGAAATTATGGTAGTTGGGAAAAAATATAAGTGAAATAGTCTATAAACCCTATTCCTTGTTCTGTGAAGGGATAGGAGACTACACATGTTTGTGTACATTTATATTTAAGGGATCCTTCTCCTGAGCAATTGGAGAAAGACAATTACAGGGGATAATCCAAGTTTACATTTAAAGAAGTGCTGGAAACCAGACATGGCTGTCCAGAGCTAATATATGCAGTAACATCCACATGTATATTCTTAATGAAGCAACAAGCAAAAGACAGTCCCAAATAAGGCAGGATAGCAAACAAGGAATTACTTCATCTTGGTGTGCAGCTGTGGTACCACCTCCTGCAACACTCAGCAAGTTAAAAAGGGAGCAGGAAGGAAAGGTATATTCTACATTAGGGTGGCCTTTCTAACATAGAAGAAATTTCTGAATTATTTCCTCAGATGTATCAACATAGCTTCACTCACTGCCAGTGTCCTCCAAGACACTGTCCCACTGTCTCTTCCTCTTCCTTCCCACTGTCTCTTAACTCCTTTCTCACTGACTAACTTAACCTGAGATGACAGGAAAGAGCACTGCAATTGTGCTCTGATCCTTTCCCCTTTGTTCTGTTTCTTATTTAAGTCCCTTTAGACAGAAGATTACATCTTTCCACATAATGCTTTGCATAAAGGTAATATAATATTACCCAGTTCCTGAGTACTATCACAGGAAATACAAATAGCAATATCCAAGATTCTCACCTAATACCCAATTATGGGCATTTTATTGTCAGAGTTAAGCACTAATGTTTATAATTGTGCTCCACATTATTATTTCCAAGACACCCAGGTAAAAACACAAAAATGAACCAAACAAATCAAGTTTCAGTACTACAATATCCAGCACATTAAACAAACTGTTCTGTAGTGCCCCCGAGTTTCTACTGACAACACTGGCAGATATTCCTAGTAAGAAGTTCTCCTCACACATCCAGTTCAGAAATGAATGGAGCAAACCAAGTACTGGAGGAAGCAAGAGCTATTTGCCATTTAATAGCTTCTGCACACCCAATCTCGAGGCAAAGGATGAGTCTTCTGCAAACCTAATAGGAATAGTCATGCAAGCTTTATTCACTCCACCCTGAAGGCACTCACAGGGTAAAAACTGGCTCAGCAAGCTTTGCAAATCAAGAAGTGTAGCAAGTATGGGAGGTACAGAGGGTGCAAGAACAACCCTGCTCCTTTTGTATGCTTACACATTAAAAAAAAATGTTGACAGACCCAAGGCCTTTTCTCTGCTGGAACATGATCACTTCCCTCAAGTTTTGTTACTCAAAATTTCTCATAATTGTCCTGCTGTCATTACACTTACACAATTCTGACAAAGTCTGCCAGAAAACTGTCGCATACACAAAAACTGTTTTGACACCATGAGTTAGGCAGCAGTAGTACTCAGAGATAATTACAACTAGTCTTAGTTCTGCCTTGGTCCCTTGAATTTCATAGCATTTTAAACATTGCTTGACCTTTATCTAAAAGAAATGAGTGGCTTTTGTGTGAAAGGCATAGCTTCTTGCAGGGGTTGGGAGTAAAGATTTGTAAAGCTTCCACCTGAGTTTTTAAGCTTGTCATGGTTTCACTGCTATACACAAATTCCAGGTAGCCTCCTGAGAAAGTCCACAAAGTACTTTCTAAAGGAAGAAAAACCCAGCCAGTTATTCAGTCTATTCTCTTTATGCTCTTTTACAAGATTGTGCTTGCCTTGTCTGCAATAAATACATAGCCAAGCCCCTACAATCCAGTATGCAGTATACCAAAATGTCTATCTGGAAATGACTGTGCAGGAGGAAGTTACCTCCCCTGACAGCCAGGAACAGTAGTGTACATTCCCCATTTGCCTGTACTTTGTTGTTTGATCAAAAGTGACCCAGAAAAACAAAAGTTTTTGAAGACTTCAATAACTTCAATGACTGTAGATCAATACTCAGCTTTCTCCTATTCCATATCATAAAAGTTTCCTCTTACTGATCACCACCAGGCTACACACATATAAATAGAGATGTACGTACGTGAAGGGATGTGCCCAAAAATCATTCTACTCCTGCTTCTACCAGTCTCTAAATGCAGGTCTCTTGAATATCTAGTCATTACCTTAGCTCCATACTAAAACCTTCCATCCTCACCAAATGCTAATGTATTTGGCACACTATAGTTTCTGTGGCAGAAATCATGGAAGATTCAAACACCTTCTTTAGCTGTGAGGCCAAGAAGCTTTTTATTGTTTCTACAAGAATAAAAAGAGCTTGATCAGATTCTATGTGCTAATCTGCAGCTTCATTTCAACCTACTGTACTTATTTCTGATTTGTTCTTGTGTCCACACCCCAGCATAGCCTTACATGAAGGAAGAAGAACTAAACTCTGCACACAATTTATGGAACTAGTCTTTAGACTCCACAGCTGCTTAAACAATCTTTTTATCCTAAAGATCACATACAGGTCCATGGTCTACAAGGGCAGTTAACCTCTGCAGCTTCTGACACTGAGGAGACTAAGGTGATAATTTTCTTTCTCCTCACCTTGCTGAAATGTATCATATTTGTCAATAAAAGAAAACAAAAATTGTTTTACCCTTTTTGGTCTCTGCATCCTCTGCTGCCACACTCTCACACAACAATAGGGGAGAGACAATTGATTTTAACCATGTTGCATAAATATAGCAAGTTGACAAATAAGAGCCTCATCAGTTACAAAACAAAATAAGCCATAAAAATAAATCCAAGACCAGAATGAAGTTAGGTTTATATACCATAAGAAGCATATCTTATCCAGAACTTGACTCAAGCTGAGTGCATTTGGATAGACTGACTAAACTTCTAGGAACTTGGAGAAAATATTATTGGAAATTGCCAAAACTACTCTCAGGCAGCACTAACTCCTGACAGTCAGGTGACACAGGGTGGTTTGCAGGCAGGGAATACACAGTCCACCACCATGCCCTAGCTGACCAGTGACACCCCAGCTAGCTACAGTCATACAACTCCTTCCACAGTGGAAAGGCATACCCCAGACATTCACATAAGGAGAAAACAAGGGCAACTCTCTGAAACAGCTGAAGTAGCTCACTGTCTTTAATTTCTCCAGATCATGTCAAAGCATTCTTTAAACAATGTATTAAGTTTTTGACCATAACTTTAAGATGTCTCCATCATCCAGTTTCAATGCACCACAGCATTTATTTCACTTTTCTTCATAAAGATTCAGAATCCTAGTCTAAGCGTACTGCTTTCCTTCAGAATATGGGGATAAATAACTTTTTGTCCCTTCATTAGCAGAGATTAATCTTAGTTTGCAGCTAAAGTAGAACAGAATGATTAAACACAAAAATCCACCCTCGTATTTTATGCCCCCAACAGGTACAAAGCCCAGGCAATACTAGTTCTGCAGTGAAAGCCCAAAATTTTCTCAAGCCACAGACATCACCTCTTTAATGGCAACAACTCCACGGACACAATAAGCAAGTCAGAAGTAAAGTTATTAAAAACAATAGCAGCAACATCAACCACCAATACCAAAGACAAACATCTCAGATTCCTTTATTCCTCCTTGATACCTGACTTTTGGGACCCCTACTTCAATAGCTCTGTGTCCAAGAATATTTCTGGGATAAGGACTGAAGCTTGCAGCAACAGGGGAGGCTGCCAGGGAAGAAGGCACGGCCAAATCACAGCTTCAGCTCTCAAGTTCAGACTAGGAAAGAGCCAGACAGGATGGGGTTACAGACCCCTTCAGACGATTCAGAAGGCAGTTTTAGACATCCCTATCACTGAAAATGGAAACATACTACTGACTGCATCTAGGTGCCAGCCAAGCCCCACCCTGTGAGGTGCAGCATGTGCACCTTCTATGAGACTGAATACCACATGTTGCAACAGTATCCCTGTGTTAAGATATTCACTACTAGGTCATACCAACAATAAACATCTCCTCCTGAAAATTAAGGTGGTCTCCCAACATTTGCGCTTGCCTAAAATAAAATAAAAATCTAACTGGTGCTATAAAACTCAACACCTAAACTTGAATATTACAATTCACAATAGCAATTTGAAAAAAAAAAAAAGTGCTGCTTTCTTTAAACTTAACAGTTTAGTGTGAGACAAACAAAGATGGTAAAGAAAACATACAGAAGTCAAGAAGAAATACAGGATTTTCTCCATGGAAGCATTAATCCTCATATGCTTTTATCTTTATCTTTGTGAGAAAACTAAGTACAGCTCCAAGTCACTCATTAAAGTTATACCACCCCTAAACGTGTTGCAAGCATTACTCATACACCTCTGTCCTAAAATTCAGCCAAGACTGTAACAGCAGCAGAGACACAATCACTGTTAAAAGGATACATTCTGTCATGGCTGCAACATCGAGTTTGCTAACTTCTGGTGAGCCAGGGCAACACTTCTTGAACTCTTTCCGTAAGTCAAAAAAGGAGTAGAAGCATTCAGGCAGTAAAATATTCTGTAAAAGGAACAAAGTAACTACTGTCAGTTAGGGCGAGTTTAAACTACTTTGTGAATAGATACTAAACATTCTAACAATATCTTTAGAATAGATAGGAAACACAAACAATCTCTGCTACAGATTGCTCTTTATAGCTCTTCTTAGCCAGGTAGGTATGTTCCTAAACTTTTTTTTCTTAAACAGCTTTCTCTTTATATTGTTTAATAAGAGAAATGTGCTTTTGTAGTGCCAGAGAAACATTTGCCATTATTACTAGAGCTTCAAATCCAATATATATGTAGCAGAGCAAATGCCTCCTATTGCAACATTTATCATCAATTCTTGATTGCAATTTTAACTGTATAAAGCCAGAGGGTAGTCAGTTCAGTTTGTAGAATTAAGCAAATTTTGCAAGACAAGCAGATATTTTAGTTTATAGAAAAGGCTGTTTTCAGAGAATAGTCATACTTCAAATATTTATTTCCAACAAATAAAAAAATCTACTGTGAGAGGGTTTGACATGGTGCAGAGGTTGTCAGCCCATGCATGGTAACTGCTTTAACTGCAGCATACAAAGCCAGAAGCAAGTTATGCAGCCCACTAGAAGTCAATGAATCTCTTCTTGTCCCACCACTACATCTACCACATGCTTCTAATTTTTTTTTTTTGAGTGGAAGGGAGAAGACATGGAGAACTCTTGGAGGCAGCTGTTAAAACCAGTGCAAACCCTTACTCCTTCAGCTAGCTCTTCACCCCAGACAGAATATTACATATTCCTTCTGGCTGTTTGTTGCCTGCAAGGCCTCTCTAGACTGCAGATAAAGGCTTTCTGGGATTCAACAACTAATTAGCATGTTGGCATAATAACAGCAGCCTATGTGAAAGCACATTTTGGGAGCCCAAAGAACACAGTTTAGGCTCTAAAACAAATTCTGCTTTGAGAACATTAGAGCTTATCTTAGCATATGGACAGGTGTATTAGGCAAACTATACTCTTTAAAGACTTATGAAAATGCAGATGGGCTTGCCAACACTTCCTGCTCTAGGATTTAGCATGATCTTCTTCCTTGATGTGAAATGAAGTTCTGTACTTCATTTATGTTCTTTTGGAATGGCTGATGCCAATTTATTCTCTGAATACCAGGAGTTGCTAGGTGGCTTGAGAATGGATACCTTAGAAATAAACACCTTCAAGAGCCTAGAGATTTCTGCCTATCTGGATCTTAGTGATCCCACAGTGCAATCCCTGCATTAGGATATTCAAAAAACTATTAGAAGTCTCACAAGGATTGGGTTTACTTAATCTACAGGCAGCACAAAGCAAATTTCAAATGAAACATTCTTAACAAAACAGCAGCAGAAGATTTTAAAAACGATTTGATGCCTGTCTGTGACCCTGTTATGATACAGAAAAAGGATCCCTGACATCAAACCAACTAAAATAATTGTAGGATGTGTCCCTTCTTTCACTCACATAATTTAAATGGATAACAAGTTTTACTTTATTAGCAAGAAGAAAGTATTTTAAAAACCTGTTTCCACACTTTCTCATGTTTTAGGTCATAGAAGGCAAGTTACATATATAAGGACTGTCCCTTCACTGTGAATAATGCTCACTGTTCCTCTTCTAAGCCTTCAAAGCTATCAATACTTAAAGCACAAACAAGTACTACAACCTTGTACTTGTACTACAAGCTCATTCAGTATCACTTTTGTAAAAGCACAGACCTGCAGCAGTGTCCCTTGAAAGCTGGGACAGCAAATTGATGGGCACAGAAGTCAGGTACAATGAGAGGAGCAGAACAGCTCAGTTACAGAGCAACGCGTGTTCATACCAAACCACAAAATGAGGGGTTATTAATATTGAGGCAGTTATTTCAGAACCAGAGAGACTCACATATTGCTGCAACCCTATCACTAATGAAAAGCAGGCAGGACTTCATGACACTGTTAGTGATTTGGCAACTCTGAAGTTATGGAAAACTCCAGACTACAGAATTAATCATCACTCATAGCCTGCCTCACACTACCATTCAGCTCCTCACAAATATGAACACTGCCTTTGGAGCAACAACTCAATACCTAAAGATTGAAAGTTGCTATAACTAGGCATAAATGTAAAATTTCCACAAACAATTTATAGCTGCTAATTATTTAGCAACAATCCCACATCCCACCTGTTAACTCTGTAGAAGTTACAAGTACTATCAATTCATTGCTCCTTTCTCAAACATTTAAAAGCCTCTTCCTTCTGATTTAACTTAAAAAGGCATCTCAAGATGACAAAAGGACAGGGCACTGTGTATGCCCTGTCTGTGTGTACATTCCACACAGACAGGCCCTTTAGCCTCGTAAGCACATTACATACAAGCAATGTTTGTGTTACAGTTGTGTGGAGATACCCTCACACTAGAGAGAAGTTGATTTGCTTTGCAAAAAATTTAAAAAGCACATTAAGATTAAGACTTAAGCTACAACTACATACCTTTTTGGAAGCTTCAGGGTGTAGAACCTGCCTAATGTGCAACTGTCCATCAGTACAGAAACAGAAAGAAGTACCTACACCAATGTTCAGTTCATTGCTCACGGACTGATTAAACTGTTGGCAGGAACAAGAAAAGACATACATGTTACAGAGAGCAGAGTGGCACCACTAGGCAGTGTCATCAGTTGGTAACATGTTATCCCTGGGCAGCAGGAGCACAGAGCTGGAATTCTTTTTCATATAAGCCTACTCCTTCACTTCTGTAGGTTTGTTTCTTACTAGCTAAGCACATGCTAACTTCCATAATAAATCTCTTCAGAATGAAACCACCCCTTTCCCCCTTCTTCTGTATAGCTACACAGACAGCCCACACCACAGAAGAAAATCCTTTTCAAGATTTGCAAGAGCATTGCAATGAGACAAAGCTGATTGCAAAGACCTGAGGCAGTACTGGGGCAGAAGAGCTTTTTAGACAGGGCACTCAAACATATCAGAAAGAAGACAGGCTTTCAGCCCATTGATTTCCTCAATGGGAATCACACACACTTCCTTGTTAATCTAGAGGCTTCAGTACCATCATCTTCTCAGGACTGATGAGTACAAGCCTTAACAGGGGACACCTAAAGCTGGCTTCTTCCAACACTGATTAGGGCTCACCCTCAGCTGAAGCTCACTCAGGCTCCAGCACGGCAGGAGAGTGGGGTAGGGGAATAGCTAACCCTAACCTTCCTCCCTTGAGGTTCAGTCCTTCCCAAGGCAAATAAAGAAAAGGCAAGGGAGAAAGGCCCACAGAGCCCTACACTTATAGGCTTCCTGGCCCACACGTGTTTGTGGTGCTCCCGTACCAGGCTCCACTGCTCTGGTGGTGGTGATAGCAGATGATGATACCACCTCTACCCCACGGGGGAGCTGCCAAAGGAGACCGGCACTTCGCGGCCAGTTATGGGGTGTCACCTGTCTCAATGCCTGCTCCAGCGGTGGAGCCAGTGCCAGGCTCTCCACATCCACTTGGGTGATCTCCTGGCACTCAGCCGTCAGTTCTGTGTGGTCAGGCCGGACCAGCACGTCATGCAGGTGCCCCAGCTCCAGAGAAAGCAGAGGAGGGGGTGAGTCAGCTCTCCGGGCTGAAAGTCCCCACCTGCAGCACCAGCCCCTACCCTCCACCAGAGCTTGCTCCAGCCTGGGACACCCACTACCAGCCCAGCGCCGAGACCGCCCTGCCCGCATCCAGCATGGCAGGCGCCAAGGGGAGCAGCAGGTCGGGGTGCTCCCCCGTCGGGTGAAAATACCTCCTTACTCCTCAGGTCGACCACTTTCCACAGGAGCTGGAGCAGCTCTCGCTCGTCTGAGCCCAACCTTGCCCCGTTGGTGCCCGCCGTGGTCACGAAGAGAATCACCAGGTAGTCGGGGGACGCCGTCATCGTGCCACCAGAGAAGGTAAAAAGAAGGGAAGGAAGAAGCGGGGAAAGAGAAGAAGCCGAAAACTTTCCTTGCCCCAGGCGCTTCCAAGCGAGACCCAAGCGGCAGAACCCCCAGCTGCAGCCTCACTCCCCAGGGACCTGGCGTGGGGGAGGCGCACGGCTCCCCCTCTTTCCCACCCCCTTTTCCCCGAGGTGGGCGGCAGCCGCTCCCACACTAACTGCGCTCCTGGGAAAGGCGCAATGGCTGCGAGCTTTTCTGCGCGGGGCCGCGGCGGCACCTGCCCGCCCCCGGCCCACGTGGTGCAGGTAGCACACACCTGGCGCCGCCGCCCATTGGCCCCGCCGCCGGGACGTGGCGGGGCGGCGGCCGGAGTGCGGCGCCGGGATTGCGCCGGGACGCCCAGCGCGGGCCGGGATTGCGGAGATGTTGCGGGGACGCGACGGTGGAGGAGCAGCCCTGAGCCCCAGAGGAGCCTCAGCGTGCCCCGACGGCGGCCCGGACCCTGCCGAGCCGCGCTGCACCGGGATGGTGCAACTCCTCAGCGGCGGGGCGGGATCGCCCGGTCCTGCCGGGACATGTCGCAGAGGGCAGCTCCGCTCCTGCCCTGCCAGGGCAGCTCCGTCCCCCGGACGGAAGGGCGGGGGAGATGGCCACGCCGCTGGTAACAGCCCCCGCTTTGGTCGGGGAGCGCTGTGTTGCCGGGCTGTGCCCGGGAGCAGCTCCGAGGGAGAGCGGGGGCTCAGGGCGGTAAAGCCTTTTCCTCTGTGGTCCTTAAGGCAGCGGCATCGCAGCTTCCCTACGGTTCTGGGACGGCGGATCAAGTCGTGTGTTGAAAGCTGGCTGGTTTGGCTTTCGCAGCCTTCCCTCGATGAGCTGGCGATTTTGGACCTTTTGACAATCTCTCTTGTTTTATGGTGAAATCTCTATTTTAAAATCTCCTTTTAAAATACATAATTCTCCAACACAAATTTTTTTTCATGACAAATCACAGAACACAGAGTAAACAACACTTTCTGTCTGAAGGGAAATCCTGTAATATACTTAATTCTTTAAGACACCAGTTGTTAATTTCCAACTTCATTGAGATGGTGCGTCTTGAAATTTTTACTGAGATCACAGACTCATGGAATATACTGAATTAGAGGGTGATGCCATTTGGGTTTTGCCTTTTTTTTTTTTTCTATGTTCTCTGTGTTCTTTACACATATATTTGTAACTCTGTCACCTATTGAATTAGTAGCCAGTTTTCCCAGTACTTTTCCATGGCCTTTCTCTAAGCAGAAAGACAAAACAAATTCCAGAGTTCTAAACCCCGGGGGGTACAAGGCCCCGGTGGCTCTGGTTCTTGGTTCTTCTTGGGAACCAAGCCTGAGAACAACTCTTTGAGATACATTCTCATGGACAAAGTACAACCAGTGCTGAAGGGGGAGCTCCAGAGAAGGGGCTTGACCTGGGGGGGAATTGCATCACCACTTGTCCTTCTAATTAGTGCTTTTTATCAATTTTACTAATTTTCTAAAACCTAGAGAAATGTACTCATCCCCGGAGGGGGTGGGTTTTAGTGGACATTTTCCATAACTGCCCCTGAAGGCCTTCATTAAAGATCCTCTTTTATATTACCTCCTTACTAAAATTATCTTGCGTTTTATTTCCATGTTGGGAAATAGGCAACAAGGGGACCCATCAGGATCATTGAGTACAACTCCTGGCCTTGTGCAGGACACCTCAAGAATCACACTATGTTCCTGAGAGAACTGTCCAAATGATTTTTGAACTAATGAAGGCTTGGTGCTGTGACCACTTCCCTGGGGATCCTGTTCCAGTGCCCAGCAACCCTCTGGGTGAAAAACCTTTTCTTGATATCTAACATAGACCTTTCCTGACTCAGCTTCATGCTGTTTGATCAAGTTCTTGTCACTGGTCACAAGAATGAAGTGATACGTAGTTCTTGTCACTGGTCACAAGAATGAAGAGATATGTACTTGCTCCTTGTGAGGATGTTGAGGACAGTTATGAGGTCTCACCTCAGTCTTCTCCTTTCTTCTCAGCTGCTCCTAATAAAGTTTCCCCTCAAGGCCTTTCACTATTCTGATGGCCCTCCTTTGGACACTCTCTAAGAGGTTTATATCTTTCTTATATTGCGGTGATCAAAATGTCACACAACACTCGAGGTGAGGCTGCCCAGAGCAGAGCAGAGCAGGACAATCCCCTCCCTTGCCCTGCTGGCCATGCTGTGCCTGATGCCCCCCAGGACAGGGTGGGCCCTCCTGGCTGCCAGGGCACTGCTGGCTCACATTCAACTCTCCACTGACTAGGACCCCCAGGTCCTTTCTGTGGTGCTGCTCTCCAGTCTCTCATTCCCCAGGCTGTCTGTACATCCAGGATTGCCTCATCCCAGGTGCACAATCTGGCACTAACCTTTGTTAAACTTCATAGAGTTGGTGATTGCCCATCTCTCTTAATTTGTCAATGACCCTCTGCAGGGCCTCTTTGCCCTCAAAGGAATTGACAGCTCCTCCCAATTTGGTGTTGTCAGCAAACTTAGTATGTCTTTGAGTCTCATGTCCAAGTCTTTTAATGAAGACATTGAAAATAACTGCTCCAAGGATGGAGCCTTGTGGAACCCCACTACTGACAGATTGCCAGCCTGATGTCACCCCATTCACTATAACTCTTCGCACCTGACTTGTGAGCCAGCTGCTCACCGATCATGTCACCTGGTTGCTCAACTGGACTTTCCTTATACTGCTGCAGGTTCAGAGCTTGCACCACCTTTCATTAGCACAAACACATTTGTTTGTCAGGAAGGGAGCAGGTGTGTTTCACCACTGCTGGGGATCCTGTCAGCCACTGACTTGTCCCCATAGTGCCTGGCGTCCTCTTCCTGACCTACTGTGGTTTGGTGCAGCCTGGTTCTCCTTGTGGGGGCTGCTACCAAATTCCAACATGACACACGATGGCTGGAGTAATTTTCACTCTCTCTGGTCCAAGATTTCAAAATTGACATTCACTGGTAGAGACTGCAATTTAAGGGCTTAAAATGTCAAATTAATCCCTCCAGTTTTTAAAAGCAGTAGCTGAATTTTTTCATGTGAATCCAATATCAGCAAACAGATAATTGTACCCTATTTGTCCGTGGTTTAGAGCACCTGGTTTTCTTTGTGCGTTTGTCTTCCAGCTTTTGATGCACAGAGTAAAACATTTGTGAAGGTCTGGGGTGTTTGTCCTCAGTAGTGGATGCAGGTGATCTGTACTGAGCACCAGCTCATCTGAGGAGTGAGTTTGTCCTCACACAGGGAGTTTGCTTAGTGCTCTCTGCTTAGCCCGGAGCAGAAGGATTCAATGGCATAGGATTTCTTTGTGCAGTTTTCCTTTCAGGTCTTAGTTTACTGCAACTTCTTAGAAAACATTTATACTTTAGTATAAAAGTCCAGAACATTTCTGAAATTACTTCACAGTGGAGCATGCCAGACAAAGAGTTCTGGCTTGGCTGGCTGCTCGTCTTTCAGTGAAACTTAATCATCTTTCCTAGGCAGTTTCTTTCTCAGTGCCAGCTTGGCTTTTGAGATGCAGCCCTTGTCTTTGTGAGAATGATTTTTGGATGAACACCTATTCCTTTACTAATGATGTGTTGTATTCTGGCTTATGCACTTTTTTTCTTCTCTCTTCTGCCTCATTGTTTCATCCTGTGTCTCTGTCCATCTAGGAGCATGAGAGTCCCCAAATTATTGCTACAGCAGGTTGCATTATGTACAGTAATCCCTTTCAAAAGTGAAACTGTACCCTGAAAGTATTTTGAATTCCCATTATGTCTTTTGGGTTACTGGCTAATCCTTGTTGCATTTATTCATTTGTTTATGAAGCTGCTTGTCACTAATTGCCACTGTAGAACCATTACCTTTTATTTTTCTCTTTCCTGGCTAATACATTCCCTAAAACACCTGTTTTCCAGTCAGTTCCCATTCCACCCTCTTTCTTGCATGCTTGCAGCATCTGGTCTAACAACATGCACCAGCTGGTCAGGTTCCTGGGCTGTGTTGCCCAGGCTCTTGGCATTTGTGTACTCCCATTCCAGCTGCTTGTCCCAGGCCATTCCGTTGTCCTGGGACTGGTCAAGCATAGTCTTTGCATGAAGTGTCACCTTCCAGATGACATGGGCATTGTTATCTACAGGAAGGTACTGGGGTGCTTTGAAGCAAATCGATCTCTCAGGGCTCCTGCCAGCACACTCTGGCTGTACTCATCTCCTCTCTGGCAATCCTTTGTTTCCTGCCTGCTGTGTCTGCCCGGCCCTTTGCAAATCTCAATGTAAGCGTTTTTCTGTCATTTTTTTATTAGTTCAGGTGATTTCCCACCACGTGTCCTTTTGTTCCACTTACTGTAACAGGACAGTTCTGAAACAACTCACACCCTTCTTCTTGCCAAGGAGCTCACACCCCCTGCCCCCAACACTGCAAGAGACTCATGTGTCCTCTTATATATTTCCTCCATTTTTCTGAAGCTTCCTTCTTTCACCCATTGATCCCCTTCCTAACAAACAAACAACCTGTGACTTTGCACTTCTCAATATGTCCAGATTTTTTCTGCCAGTTCTGCATCTCCTGCCCTGCTCTATTCCTTTACAGAAGGGTCTTCATCCCAATACCACCTGCAGCTGTTATCCTTTCCTACACAGACCTTTGGCCTCTGACAAGTATCCCACCTGTATCACTTTTCCCTGCTTTCCTTCCAGAATATCAACTTCTTACAACTGAAATTGGAGAATCATCTCTATTATTAATTTTGGAATGTGTTATGTTTGTCACCTTTTTTTTTAAATGTTTCTAAGATAACTGCTGCTCCTAACCAAATTCTGTTGTCTCCACTTTCATCAGTGGAGAAAATACCCCCCCAAAATACACAAATTGCTTCTTGATATCATGCAACTGTGTGTGACATTCAAGCACTGCTGTTGTTGCAGCAAGGAAATGCCTATGTGTAAGCCCAGCCATGTGCTGAAGTCCATGACACTGCATTCAGAGCCATCTAAATGGAGTCCTGCAAAGCTGATTCTGTTCACATCCAGAGCTGCAGCTGCTCCCAGCAGCGAGGGAGTCCCTGCAGATAAACGTGCAGGGCTGGAATTCCCCTGCCAGCTCCAAAGGCTCTGACGGGCTGGGCTGGCTGCAGTACTGTTGCAGGCTATCCCAGCAGAGAATCATCTGACAGGGACTGCGCTCCTCTGGCACAAA